CCTCCATAGATTACCAGCTCTTCCCAGAAGGAATAAAAACCTGGGATGTTATACACAGCGCTGATTCAACTAACACACACTTCATGTTTGAAGTTTGTTATTGTAATAGCCTCATAAAGAAGTTACAGAATTCTTCAAAGAGATTCCTTCATCAGGGGACCTACTGCACAGTGTTTAAAAACATGTTTGTTCCGTTTTTATGATACTAGATTCTGTATAAATAAAAGAAGGTGAAGAAAAATAGTAATCTTCAACAACTCTCTCCAAACTGATATTTTCCACAGTAAAAGCCTCCTCTTATCATTATTTGAAATGTCCTATTAATGAGTGGCCAACAATACAAATTTGAAAAAAGTGTCAAGATAAAATGCATTTACAGGCCTTTCTCCGTGCCCGGGGATGCCGCACAGAGCGAGTGAGGTCGCTTCTCCGCCCCCAGCAGCTCCCAGGCGTCTGCCCGGCCTCCAACCCAAAGCTCCTGCTGCCCCCACTGCCAAGTCCCTGGACCTGCCTCTGCCACCGTCCAGACACCTGCAGGACCGTCTTCCCACACACGGAGCCCCCGAGCAGAGTCCTCCTGTAGCCCCGCAGCTCCCCTTATGCAGCAGAGACACTGGAACAAACCTGCTTCAATGTAATTTAACTCAACAGCCCAGATTTGGTGCTCTCTTTGCCATTTGAACTGATGAAAAACTTCAGATTTTCAGACCATACCTGCCCTATTAAACAGAACTTTAAAGTAAGCCTTGGAAATATGTTAGACTATGGACACAAAGTCTCTTTAGCCAACACAGTAAGACTTTATTACTTAGCAAAATGATAACCCTTGAACCATAAGATGGATGTCAGAAAGCACTCTAAGGTAAATCCTTAACTTGGAAAGCCTTTCCAAACACCAAAAATCAAAATCGTAGTTTTAGTCCTTAAAAAAATCCAGTATTGTTCACGAGCGTTAGATGCTCTTTTGGGCAACAAAGTGTCGTCTGGACTGAGCGGCTCCGAGACAATGAATCCATCAAAACCATTTGCTCCAGTAGTGCCCGCACTAGTAACCCACAGCTGTGGATGTTTGTGAACTCTGTCTGCCGAAACGACTGGCGGCAGCCAACTCCCCGCCTGAGAGAAGCTACCACCCCAGCGAGGCTGCTCCCACCCCGCAGAGTCACGCAGCTGCCATTCGATCCAGTTATTGTGTGAAATGCCCAAACCCTCTGTCAAGCTTTAAGCGAGAATGTATTGCTAGTAAAGTCTTAAAATGGGCCACAAAATTATCAAAGACAAAAGTACACAAATTAACATTCAATATGATATTAAAATATCTTCTAAGGTCAAACATCAAGGCTTAATTTAATGATCGATAAAACTTAACATTGAATTTGGTACCAAACAATTATAAATTGCATCAGACATTTCTATCTGGTAAGCACTTTAAGCACATAATTTTACAAAAGATACATACTGTCCAAAAACTCACTTTATTTTGGCAGATTTGATGGACAGGCCGAGAATGGGCTTCCGCTATCACCGCTGCACTGCAGCCAACGTTGAGGTCGAACACTTCCAAAGTCCTGTTCCGGCCAGCCGTGAGCACAATGTCTGCAGTGGTGCAGTTAGGGAACTCTCTCCGTCACCCCACCCACCGGGACAGACAGGTCTGTCTCTTCTATTAGTAAATTTGGGAACACGAGAAGACTCACAGATCGATGGCTAGTTAGGAGTTTCTGAAGTTCTGCAGGAGCAGCCTGCAAGGTGGTGTAGGGTTAGGGCACTATAATTAATTCCACAAACTTGAAATATGAGGGGCAATTTATAGATGCCGGACTCGTGTGACCACCCAAACTACTCAACCTTCGATATTTAGTCCTGAACACTGTTATAAAAAGTATACATGGGAGGGTGCAAAGAGTGCTAGATTCAGTAGTAAATCCAATGCTAACATCAAGATACGCAGAAACCATAATCTAAGCTGGAATAATCGTAATGACACATTTCTGCCAGGTAGGTTTTTTTTTTTTTTTTAGCAAACAATTCTAGCATAAAAATATTAACAT